CTTTGTGAAGGATTTTTTTTTTTTTTTGAAAAGCAACTTGGTGAAGGAGTTAACATATTTGATTTGTTTTGTTTATTATTAAAATAAGATAATAGAAATTTGAACTTAATTCTTTAAACAATATAATATGTACAATGATGAACTCAGGATTTTGCGTGACTAAAGAGTAATTATAAAAATAATTATACAATATATATCAAGTTTTATACACATGATAAAGAAAATTAAAAATTGAAGGGTGACGACTGTCACCACCTATTATCCTCTTGATTTCTTTTTCACCTTTGAATATAATTTTATATATATATATATATATACTTATCCAACCATAACTAGTCGTTAACTATATATTCATTTAAGATTAACATAATCTATAGCTATATTTAAAAAGACTTCCTTACTTAACACTTTGTATTATTACTTTTTCTTTCTTTTTTTATGATTTTTTAACAATTATAATTAAATATTAAGTCATATTTAATAAATAGCATAATAGCACTTGAAATGTAATTATCTTTTCTTTACATTAAAAGTTAAAAAAATTTAAATCCAACTATTTACTTAAGAATAAATATATATACATGTCAATTACTGAATCAAATTATATAATATAATTTTCTTTTATCAAATTAAACTATATAGTTTTTATTTATAAAAGTTCAATTTTAATTTTTATAAATCTTAAATTTTAAAAAATAAGTTTTCTTATATTTAAATATGCTCTCCATTTTTCACTTTTTAAAATAAAAAATGCTAACTAATAAAATAACAATCTAAGGGAACTTAAATATGTCCATCGACATAACTATAGTGTTCATTTGCAAACATGGCAAGATGGAGGAAAAAGAAAAAAAAATAGACTCGTACATAGTCTTGCTAAGATATAAGTATGGCCTTAGGTAATGTTTGGTACAAAAGACGTGGGAGCATATTCTTGTAATATGCTCAATTAAACTAGATTGCAGTATTTATTTTATAACAAATCACTGCAATGAATGTGATTACAGTCTAAAATCAATACAATCAAATTGTATTGTACTCTGTAATATTATTAAAAATAATTTTACCTTTCAATGTTGTTACTTTGTTAGAAACATTTTATAATGTTATAATTTTTTTTATATAAATTTCGATGATGTCTTTTTATTATTCTCAATAATTATGGTGACTGTCAATAAAATTTATATAATCTTTTCAAAAAATTAAAATAAAATATATAATATATAAAATTATATTAAGAAATAAAATAAAATATATAAGATTATAATAAAAAAATAAAAATAAAATATATGATATTAAAAATATATTTAAAAGATGATATTATATAAAAATTAATAATAAAAAATACAAGAAATGATGATTACAATAACAATAATTATATATTTTGTAAAATAATATATTTTCATGTCAATGTACACCAACAATTAAATATAATAATATAATTACTATGCATATCCATTTTACAAAGTATTCTCAACTCAATTGAAAAAAAAATATTATCATCCCGAATACATCACACAAGTAACAAATTAGTCTTAAGAAGAAAGATTCTTTCATGCATTCAACATTTTCTTTGTTCGTATAATTTTAAATGCGAAGCTAAAAGATAGGTGGACTTGTCTCTCATGTTTTTTTGTTATATGTTATTAGACTTACTTCGAGGGGACAAGAGGATGTTCAACATCTACCAAGTCAAAACCATGCTTAAAGTCCAAAAGGCCGACTAGCATTTTTCCATTGAAAATTACTTTTTAAGTTGACTTTTTTAACAAAATAATTATGTAGCACAAATGTTCTGATTTTTATTATCCTTTCACTTAGGTTGCATATGGTATATTATTGGAAATATAATTTTTGAGAATGTGATTATTACTAGGAATATAACTTTGCAGCATTTGGCATAAGAAAGCAAAACAATCATTGTAGGGAATGTGATTGTTGAATGAATTATATTGTAGTGATTAGTTTGTAAGCTCGAGAATGTAAGGTAAATTGATAAAATTATCTTTATGTATTAAAAATATATAAGTTGAATAAATTTATAATTTTTAATATAAAAGTCAAATTTTAATATAAAGGTCAAATGCTTTATAGTCAAATTATATATTTTTTATAAAAGTTCAAATCCTTTATATTAAAATTTGACTATAAAGGATTTGACCTTTATATAAAGGTTAAATCCTTTATAACCCAAACACCTTTTCCTCTCAAATCCTCTCAATTTTTTAGTAAATTTTCTCCATTTTAAACTATTTTTTATATAAAAAACATAAGTTTTTCTCAAAACACTTTTAAATTTTTTTGAAACTTTGAATTAGGGTTTCATAAAACTCAAAGTCCAATCTCTCCAATTTTCGAATTTGGCAATGAAAATTGACCTAAATGTATTGGTGACGAGCTACCCTTCCTACCGGCGGTGAGAAAAAGGAGAAGAGAGCAAGGTGAAAAGAAGGAGAAAAAGGTAGGAAGGGAGAAAGTGAAGAACTAAAGAAGAAGAAGAGAAACGTTGGGAGGTTAAGTTGGGGAATAAAATTTTTTTTTACTTTCCATTTGATGAGGGATTACTTTTTCATCCCCAAAACATCAATCAAACGCTGTAATGTGCTTTCTTGCAAATGTCCCGCACTTACTATCAACCAAACGCCCCCTTACCTTTTTCCCCTTAAATCCAAGTTTGGGCTAGCGAATGGGCCTCGGGTAATGTGTGCCGCTTGGTTGAAAGCTCATGGAACCTTTCTATTCAACTTGGACTCCATACATGCGTTTGTCTTCAATTGGAATTAGGCCTAAACCCAGTTTTATCAGTACCATTTCCGTACTGAAAACTGCCTGTGCCCCATATCTTGCAGGTCCAAAGGTATAGTTGAGAATGTTCAGGGTTATTGATGGTCTTTTGGGCCTATGAGTACCGATCTAATCGAATGAATAATATAATAAATATTTTCTTAAATTAAACTTAATTTTCAACATAATTTTCCAAAAAGCCCATTAGAACTTTACTAAAAAAGGTAGTCATTACAAAAATTAAAATAAAAAGAAAAATTAATCAAAGTCTTGGTACTACAACTATAAAAGAGTTAGATTATATCAAGTTTTATACATTAAATAAGCGTTTTGATTTTTGAAATTATTAAAAATATTAAAATAAAGTCTTTATATTTCTAAAAATTTTTGAATAGTAAAATACTTTAAATTTTAAATATAAAATAGATAAATTTAAAATATTACATCAAATTATTAAGAATTTTATATCAGCAAATTACAAAATAAATATTAACTTTATTTATAAAATTTTGTATTTAAAATGTGAGATTATAGTAAAAATACATGGATACGGGTACATAGTAGTATGTTTAGAGCAAAATTAGTAACTTATTACTCGCTATAATAAATATTTGTGATGCTATGTGTCAGAGATTTGGGGCAGTCATCTCGAATGTCTCATAGCTTCATCAAAGACTTGCCGCGGCCCTGGTTCCTTATTCCTCCACTATTAAATGTCATTGATTTTTTTTTTGAAATATATGATTTTAAATTGTATAATAAAAATAAATTTTGATTTCTTAAATTTTATTTTTCATATTTCAAAATTTTAATTTAATATTTTTAAAAAATTTTAACCGTAATTGATAGAAGGGTTGGATTTGATAATATATAAAACATGGCTGTGTAGTAAAATTGTCGGCATATAAAATCCCAAACCACATAAATTTGGGGAAGAAATTGAGCTTTCGAAAATTTTATTTAAAGAAAATATTTGAAGGGTATTTAACAGCAGAAAGAAAGGAGGAGAGAGGTCCTGCGCATGTGTGGAGACTGGACCCAGACTGGGATGCCACCACAAAATGTTAACAAGAAAACACATGGCAGCCACATGAAATGGAAACAGAATTCTGGCTAGCGAGACGTGGCTGCCAACAACTCAGCACATAAAATCATTTGTCTTCCAGTCCTTGTAAAATATAAATTCGGAACAAGAGAAAGAAATACAATTAGATCTTGCAATTTGTTTTTTCATATATTTATCATGTAACTTAAAGTATTAATAGTTATTCAGATAATTATAAACATGACATTTAATTATATTAGGATCTTAAATACATATATGAAAATGTTTAATAATTGACTAATACAATTGGATATGACATAATATTTATTAAATTTGTAAGATTAAATTTTATATGAGATGACATGAATAACATGATTAATAGGATTAACATACAATTGACACAATTTATTTAAGATATGTATAATTCAAAAATAATTATATTATTACTCAAATTCATAATAAAATATTATAAATATCATAATATAATATAATTCAACATCAATAAATCTTAATTATAATATAAATATTTATATTTATATATATCAATAAATAATTTTTAATGATGTACTAAACATATCTACATGACATGTGAATATAATTAAATAAATAAATAACAAACAAATCATAAATTATTTTAATACACAATAATATATATAAATATATATATATTTTAAACGAATTAAACCAATAATAATTAATATACAAAATACAATTAGGTTAAACTCAAATCCATTTAAATTGATACGATATTCTTGTGGAATACAAAATTATCAAGTTTAAATCAAAAGCTTCCCTGTTTGATGAACTAATGATTAAGCAGGCGGTGTTGATTAAAGCAGGTCCCACATGCCAACGAAGATCAAAATTGGCGCTGATAAAGCAATTATCCTCTACTCTTCCACAAAGTTTCATTCCCAAACTCCCTTGCTTCCGCATATTGTACCTTTGTAAAATCAAATCTATTTTTCCTCGAAGAAAAGCCTGAGATATTGTTAAAACATGAGTCGGGTTTAAACTCGTAATTAGAGTTTGAGTTAAAATTCCTAATTAGAGGCAGTAAAAATTCTATTCCTAATTTGACTCTGATATGTAATTTAAGTGTACAAATAGGTACATATAATAACGAAATTTCATTCTCAAACCAATTCAATTCAAGTGTGGAATCAAAGAATTACAGGAAGCAGCATTTTTCGAAGCTTCTGCTCTGACTACAAGCCAGGGCAGCCACCAAAAAATCCTAGACCCGTCTGCAAGGTTTCAAGAAATTGAATCCGTCTACCTCCCAAGGGTCATCACTGACGTCTACACAATCCCACAAGTCTTGAACTCCACCCTCCTTCAACGGTTTTCTTGTTTCGTAAAAACATGCCAAGCTTAACGGTGAAACTCAGTAGCATCTTCTTCAAGTTTCAGCAAAGACACAAGCTAAATAATCTAACACAAGCTCCTCTTCACAATGTTGATCCTTTTGGCATAACTTCACGTCATGAGGAACCGACCATCCCCAGCAACCCTTCTTTCAATGATGGAGTTGCCACCAAGGACATCCACATCGATCCCTACTCATCGCTTTGCGTCCGCATATTCCTTCCAGAAACGGTTGTTAACTCAAACGAGGACAACGACAACAAAGATGTTAATTTTGTTTACAGAGGTTACTGTCCTCGGACAGGAAAAAAACACAAGAAACTACCGGTGATGTTACAGTTCCACGGCGGGGCTTTTGTTGGTGGAAGCAATGATAGTGTGGGGAATGATGTGTTTTGTAGGAGGATTGCCAAGCTTTGTGATGTGATCGTGGTTGCGGTTGGCTACAGGCTGGCACCAGAGAGTAGGTACCCGGCGGCGTTTGAGGATGGTTTGAAGGTGTTGAATTGGTTAGGGAAGCAGGCGAATTTGGCAGGGTGTGGGAGATGGATTGGGAATGGGAGAAGAAAAATAGATGCTCATGTTTTTGATGGATTTGGTGCGTCTATGGTTGAGCCTTGGTTGGCTGCTCATGGAGATCCCTCAAGGTATGTTTTCAGTTCTTTACTTTAATCAATTTGATTCAGTTTCATTCCTTCGACGGATGAGGAATTAGTTAGACTAATGAACTATGTTCATGTTTATTCTTCTTAATTTGAAGTGAAGTTACAATCAAGAGTAACCATAAGAGAATTCAGTTGAAAATTCCTATCAAACCTTAGATGCATTGAGTTTCTGTTTCCCATAAGACCCAAACTCTGTTTGGGTTACAGAGCATGATGTCAATTCTTGTGGTTAACATAAATGCATTAATCAAGAGAACAATATCATCCGTTCGTTCTCAAAGAATGAGCTTAGACTTAAAAGAGTTGATACTTCAAGCATGGGGATTGGGTGGGATTAAGGCCTAGAATTACAACCGTTTGATTGTGGATTTGCTAATTTTCTGGAAAGGCCAATTCTTGACTGCAATGTCTAGTCAAAACAATCTGAAAAAGGTCCCCTTTTCGTTCCTCTGGCTCTACATTTCTTGTTTAGTGACTAAATTCCCCTAGTCTGAGAAACTATTAAGAATGTGGCTTGAGAGAAAGATAATAAGCCCATTGTAAAGTAGAGAGTATTGAAGTTCAGATGACTCAACTTACCTAACGTAGTTTCAAACAAAACAAGTAGAAACTGATATTTGAAGTTTCATACGGTAACAAATTGCAACCAAAGTAAAATCGAGCTTTTAAATGTGTAGTGTTTACGATGACCAAATACAATAAACTTTTTACTAGAATTTTAGGACAGATGAACCTGCTCTTACGTTTAGAAGATGATGGAGTAATGTCCCTTGCTTGTAACTCTTTCAAACATTTTGGTAGCTACCTTTTAGGAGAAATAAACACTGAACAAAGCCTTGTCAAATTGCACATCACCAAGTTAAGTACCATGAGTTAGCTTAAATTTGGTACCATCTGCCCGGAACTTCCACAATAAACTTTAGAACTGCAGAAAACTTATAGCATTGTTTAAATAGGGACATGACATATTCAGTTTCCATTTTCCATGATAAGAAACAATATCCTGGGGGCTTGAGTGAAGTTTTGAAGACAATTCTTCTGACTTTCTCATTGAGATTCGTTAACTTTCATACTAGTCCTATTCTCCTACTCCAAAAGGGTGTTGTAATGAACATTTATGCCTTGTTTGTTAGTAGTATCATGCTGGCTAGTCAATCTAACTTGCTTGGAAACATGATTACTAACTCTCCTTCACTTTCATTTCTAGCTTCTGGTAATAATTTTCCATTCACCTTTTCTCTTGTTTCCTGTTCTATAAGGTAGTAATTGACTAACTTGGTCTTGTCATCAAAGCAGGTGTGTACTACTTGGGGCAAGCTGTGGTGCAAACATAGCAGACTATCTGGCTCGGAAGGCTGTTGAGGCTGGAAAGCTCTTGGATCCTGTCAAGGTGGTGGCACAAGTCTTGATGTATCCATTTTTCATTGGGAGCAATCCCACAAATTCTGAAATTAAACTGGCAAACTCCTACTTCTATGACAAGTCTATGTGCATGCTGGCGTGGAAACTTTTTCTGCCAGAGGAAAACTTCGACCTAGATCATCCAGCTGGCAACCCTTTAATCCCAGGGAGAGAGCCTCCACTGAAATTCATGCCCCCAACACTGACAGTTGTGGCCGAGAAAGACTGGATGAGGGATCGGGCAATTGCTTACTCTGAAGAACTTCGAAAAGTTAAGATAGACGCTCCCCTTCTTGAATACAAGGATGCTATTCATGAATTTGCCACACTTAATGTGCTCCTCCAGACGCCACAAGCACAAGCATGTGCAGAAGATATTGCTATATGGGTCAAGAAGTATATATCACATAGAGGCCATGAGTTTTCTTATTGATAGATCAAAAATGAAGAGAAACAAGTTAAGGGTGAAAAAATAGCATCAGAGCAAAAGAGTCAGTAATTTTGTATCAGGAGGAATAGAGTTTCAGGTTAAGTCTGCGGAATCGTTTATTCAGTAGCCTATCAGGGTGAGGGGCTTGTCCTCTTTTTGTACAAATGAGGTGTTTGTCTAATTCCTTAGGTTTTCAGATGCAATCTCTTCCTCGTTACAGTTCACTAGGAATATTCATTTGTTCATATTCTTTACCTCAATAGTGAGATGTCTAATACTATATGTGAGAATAAACTAAATGAGATCATTATTTGTTAGAAAATAGTGTATTTCATAAGGATTAAACATCCCATATTATCAAGATATAACAAAAGTGAATGCTTTATATATGAAAATAAAAATAAATAAGTTGGTGTGCACACATGATTGAGTTAGATTTTAAAAAATTTAAAATTTTCTTTTTAAGATTTTTTCTTTCTCAACTTCAAGTTTATTGAATCTTGAAAGATAACCGTTACAGTTTTTTTACTCTTAATTTTATATTTCAAAAAAATAAAAATTATATTTAAAAGATAATAATACCGCACTTCAAACCTTTTAATATTTTTACTTGCTTTATTTTATTTTCATTTGTTTCTCAATTTTTCTAACATTATTATTCCTTTTCTTTGTGATTTTAAATTTTAAAATTGCGCCCATCAACACTCACAACAATGTGCTCTTACTCAACTGTTTCTCTCTTTGGCTGAAACTGTCACTTGGTCCTGCTGACGAAAATAAAATAAATTAATCAGCCGGTACTAAGCATGTATTGCTTATCTTGCCGATGCCATGCCAGGCTTGTATCTATACCATCTTTCTTAATGGATATTTCTTCATGCATCAAAAGGAATATCCTATGCGATTTTCTTGGAACCCCATTGCACAAGCATCTACCAATCATTACCCAACACTTTCGATAAAGTAATCCTAGTTGTATTTTATATTAGCCTTTTGCAACAACAATCTCACAAGACGGCAGAAAGATGTGTTTTAGTTAATCTGTATACAAGAATAGTGACAGATTACAAGGAAATCAAAGTAAGTTGGCAACCGCGTCCCAATTGCTATCATTGCCTACTTCTATCGTTAACAAGACAGTCTAGTTGTTGACGATATTTAAGACAAAAGCTGAAAAACCAAAAAAAAAAACAAAAACAACTTGAGATAAATAAAGGGTGAAGACTTAGTTTTTTGGTTTGACTTGTGGTTCAGCTAGCCCCAAGATTAATTTGGTTGAACCTTGTTAAGTACCTGATGAAGGAAGCGACATTTAAACGAAGTTCCAAGGTTGTCTGGGAGTATAAGGCATATCTATAAGCTGCCACTCACGTAGGGAAGCAACTTCTAAGGTGTACAAAAATGAGATACTAGAAAGACAACGTAAAATTCGAAATTCCAAGGATTCCACGAAAATGATAGGGAGGAAATATACTCCAATTGCACTGTGTTCACATTGTCTATGCCCAGCAAAAGCAAGACACCTTTTAAAAATCATTATCTTGTGTACTTTCTATAGGCTTTGGATTGAAGGTATGACTTCGAAAGGTTCGCTCAACAAATGAGCACACATAAGTAGCCCTTGCACGTCAGATTAGTTCTTCAGAGGATCAAAGCTATGGAGCCTGTTCTGCGATTGCGACCTCGGCTCTATGGTGATAACAAAAGCAGTGAAGTGATGACTTTTGATCTCAATTTACCAGGCATTCAAATTTATCCCTTTAGTTGTCCAATTTATCAGAATTGGCCAATTTTTTATGAAACTAGAAACCATAAAAGGTTAAAGCAAGAACACCTTATGGATGTATCCATTGGTAGCAACGGTAACAGCGACAACAGCGACGGAAGTACTAATAGCTTGACTAGATTGCCAAGACTCCAATTCCGGGATCATGTATGGGCTTACGCGCAGAGATACTTAACAATCGTGGCTATGGAAGAAGCAGCTGTTGCCATGACGGGAGGCGACGAAAATGAAATCAAGGAAGAAGAGGGTGGAGAAGGGATGAGACTGCTCCAACAACTCATTACTTGTGCGGAGGCAGTGGCTTATCGTGACAAAATACATGCTTCAGCATTACTGTCAGAGCTCAGGGCTAATGCCCTTGCCTTTGGAACTTCATTCCAGCGAGTTGCTTCCTGCTTTGTCCAGGGACTTGCTGACCGTCTCGCTTTGGTTCAACCACAAAGGGCGGTTGGAGTGGTAGGAGCACTTGCAAAAGCAAAGGCTGCTACATTTGAGAAAGATGAAGCCTTAAGCCTTGTCTATGAATTATGTCCGCAAATCCAATTCGGTCATTTTGTAGCGAATGCATCAATATTGGAAGCCTTTGAGGGAGAGAGTTTTGTTCATGTTGTGGACTTAGGTATGACACTTGGCCTGCCCCGTGGCCACCAATGGTGCCACTTAATGCAGAGCCTAGTCCACCGTGCAGGCCACCCACCTAAACGTCTTCGAATAACAGGAGTCGGAACCTGCTCTGAACGCCTCCAAGCAATTGGGGATGATCTAGAGCACTATGCAAAAAGCTTGAAATTGAACTTTGAGTTTTCCGTCGTGGAAAGCAATTTAGAAAACCTGAAACCTGAAGATTTCAACACATCGGGTGATGAGGCCTTGGTCATCAACAGCATTCTTCAATTGCATTGTGTAGTGAAAGAGAGCCGAGGAGCATTAAACTCAGTTCTACAAAAGCTCCGTGAATTATCTCCCAAGCTTCTCATTCTAGTAGAGCAAGACTCGAGTCATAACGGGCCTTTCTTTCTTGGCAGATTCATGGAAGCATTGCATTATTATTCAGCTATATTTGACTCGCTAGACGCAATGCTGCCCAAGTATGACACTAGACGTGCCAAAATGGAGCAATTCTATTTTGCAGAAGAGATAAAGAACATTGTAAGCTGTGAGGGGCCAGATAGAATTGAAAGGCATGAAAGGGTTGATCAATGGCGAAGGAGGATGAGCCGGGCTGGTTTCCAACCTGCGCCTATCAAGATGATAACGCAGGCAAAGCAGTGGCTAGAAAAGATTAAGGTTTGTGAGGGTAACACGATTGTGGAAGATAAAGGGTGCTTGGTTCTCGGCTGGAAATCAAAGCCCATTATTGCAGCTTCTTGCTGGAAATAACCTTTTGATTCAAGGACTCTGAACGAGGAATGATGTTACTTGACTACTAAAGAAAGATGAAAAGCCCATCTGCGATAAGTAACCTGGGGGTTGTGGAAGGCATGGAGCAATAGTGATCTCACATGGGGAAACAACTGCTACTTTGGTTTAAGTTCACCAAATCAAAAAAAAAAAAAAAAACTTTGAAAATAAAGATAATAAAGTAACGTGAATAAATAGGACATCAAGCCCATTTTATGTAACATTCTTGTGTTATTAAGTGCGTGAAAGAAAATTATAAACGTTTGTTTTTAACCAATACATCAAATTAATTTCTATCTATTAAAAAGTTACTATCAGATGAAATTTTAATGCTTTTAATTTATTATTAATTGAGCATTCTTAATTCATATTATTGATTATTTTTTATGAAATTCTTTGATCATTGATCACTATGTTTATATTATAAATTAAAATAAATTAAATATATTTATCTAACAATTAAGAATATTTATAATTAAAACTTCATTTATTTCACATTTGAGTATTTTATTTATTAATTGATGTATGGTTTTTATTTAAAAAATATTTAAATTCTTTTCTTCCAATTAAAAAAAAAACCCCACTTATCTCCGCTTTAAATGATGCAAACTGAGCATCGAGAGGCATTTGGTCGAACAACTTGGCGGCATACAGTTTGGCTCATGCGTTAAAACGCACCGTCTCGAAGAAGAACTCCATTAGGTTGGACCCAGAGTTCTTACTAACCTGTTAAACCATGTAAGGCCACGTGTCCGGTGGATATTCTGTAGTGTATGGACCTCTCTCCCCACTGTCTTTTCCTCAGAAATTCTGAGGGCGTGGATAAGACCCACTCCACAGATAATCTCATCCCAATTTTCAAAGAAGAAAAGACAGTTAGCAGTTATCAAGACACGAAAAGTTTTGAAGGCAAAAAAAAAAAAAAAGAGGAAGGAAACGGTTTTGTGTGTCAAAAATGGAGGTGGGTATGTCGCTAAATGCGCTGGTGAGGCTTCCTTTGTCGAGTACTTCAAGAACCCACCACGAATCACTCGATGGGTTGGTGAAGCACTCGCTCTTCAGTTCCAGAACAACGACGTGGCAGCAGCAGAGTCAGAGACGGCAACAGAGAGGAGGGATGCTGGTGGTAGAAGCCAAGGGGAAAAAAGGAATGGCAGCTCGTCAGTTTCAAAGGCCTCCGCCTCCTCCTATGCCTAAGATTGAAGACGATGGCAACCCTCGCTTTGTCATCTTCATCCGCATGGCTGGTGTTCGTCTCTTTTCTTCATTTCATTAGGGGCTTTCTTTTGTTTATTTATCCTTTCTTCCAATCTTCTGTTGGAGTTACAAGGTTCTTGTATAATTGCAAATTGACAACCTGAAATAGAAAAGTAAAGTTGAGGCAGAGGTAAAAAAAAAAGGTTCTGTATTTAAGTTTGAGTTTAAAAACAAAGTTGCATTGATGTGTTGATAGCTAATATCAATTAAACTTTTTGATGGATAGAAATATCTTAGATAGTATTTAAAATAATTTTAATACGACAACAGCTCTCTTTTATAGCAGCTTAATTGCTCAGGCCAAGTAGGCTCAAGCTTATAGTTTCAACCTTTATTTATAATGTTTTACACTTTTGCTTTAGTGGTTGCTGCAATTTTTTTTCTGGAAAACCCATATCAAGACGGAGTCATGGACAAGAGAAAGAAAATTACTCCTTAAGATCTCGTTAACCTCATCTGGGCTTGGTGCTAACCATCCACCTGTTGGAAAAAGAAATCCATAGATTTTCATCTGTATGCTATGAATTTTTTTACTTAATCTGAACTTTAGAAGAAATTGTAGAATAGTCACATGTTCGTTGAGTTAAAGTCTCATTACTCTCGTTGCAGGTCAATCTTTGGTACCCGCTTAGTCTCATAACAGGTGGCACCACTGCTAAAATCATGGTGGCAGCAAAGGATAATTTCCTCGGAAAATACATCTACAAAGATACACTTGCTAGAAATCTTGCAGCAGTTATATACAGAGTAAACTAAATTCTCTATACCTTGATATTGTCTCTTCATAAGATAATTATGTTTCTAAGAATCGAGAGTTGTTTAGTCTTTATGGATATGATTGTTTGGTCCAGAGTAACTGCCAGCCTCTTTTTTATTTTATAGTTACGTTGCTATTTGGTTTTCTTCATTTTTTGGGGGGCTATTAAATGCTTTTACTTTCTTCAGTATTTCGTAAGGACAAAGAAGTTAGCGTAATGTGATCTTTAACTCTGTCATTACTTATTGCTATTCCTTTTTTTAGAATGCATAATGCATGTATGTCCTTTTTTGCGACAAATGAGGAGATAACGCTTTCTGCTCTAAGGAATGATGACTTGATTCCAGAATGTTAGTGTCAAACTCTATGGACTCATGGAATCTAAAATCTACATTTTGGAAATCACCTCCAAGTTGTTGTTCTAGTTTGTTGTTTTGTATTAGTCTATGCTGTAAGGAAAGAACTTAGTTTGAATACTTGGGTTTTTAGCAGATCAACCCTCATGACTATATTTATTATGAGATTTGAAGCTTTTCCTTTTGATGTTAATAGAATTCCTACCAGTTTTAGCACCATTTTGATAACATATTTATGTTTCACTTACCAGAGATAACTTTTGTATCTTGACTTTGCATTATTTTCAACCTAGTTTCAAGTGTGCTGACTACTGGGCCTCTTTTCGAATAGGATGAGAAGGAGATACAAAAGACAGCTTTTAAACAATTCCGTGTATTGCAATCTGCAACTGACTTCAGATATGGCTACAAACTTGTTGTAAAGTTCCTGTTACTCCCATCCTATATTATATAAAATTTAGTTGATGGTTGGTTTTCCTAATTATGGTCAAAACTATTCATTTTATCCCCAATAAGATGATGGAGAAATTCGCCAATTCATTTTCTGAATTGTGTGCTCTAAATGTACAGGAAAATGGTAACGTGAGATCTGCGCTTTCTACCAATGATGTTATCGAGGTGAGCATAAAATTTTTTGGGTTCTATCGTTCTAACTTATCAAACTCTACATTACTTGTCTTAACTCTTAGTTAATTTTAGTTACCAGATTCTTGGAGAAGTGTTAAGATTTTAGCTGGCAGTATAGACTGAGTTTATATTAGAACTTTTTTTACAGCTGTGGTCTACTAGTTCTTTTCTGCTTTTGATTTTCCATTCAGATTTGAATTACAAAAATTTCCCTTTTTCTACTCCTAATATGCTTTTATTCCAAATTGATTTCAGCTTCCAACACAAGACCAGCTTAAAACAGTTCTTGATAAAGTGAAAGACTTCTTTGGCGATGCAAAAGATTCTTTTGGAAAGATAACAGCGCTAAATTCTGGCTCAGATGAGGAGTCAGAGGAAAAAACTGCAGAAAAAACCAAGTAAGTGTAGTGGATATTAGTAGTTAAAAGAAAGAAAGTTAAATAAATATTTCACTGCCATAGTTTTTGAAGTGCGAGACCGTCTTTATCATTATGTGTTGCCCTTAGTTTGATTTCATTGGCGGGTTGGAATGATTTTTCTTCTACTTTTGTTTCACTTACCAGGGTTAGAGGTTGAGGATAGACTAGCCATTTGATTGTGATAGTCATTGGTCCTGGATATGGATGCTTCATGAGCTACAGGAATGTGCCAAGCAAAAGTGATGAGCACCAAAAACCTGCTGCAAAGTTTTGGTCTTGGATCCATGTTTATTGAGCATGAATTTTCTGTCAGTAACTTCTAAGTGCCAATCAAGCATATTCTGCACATATATCAAATACTTGAAGTATATTACCACTTTATGGAATGAAATATCCGGTGAGCACTGGGAACATTACATAGGGGAGAATTATTTTGTTATAAATATTAAAACATTATTAGATGGACGACAGCAATTGAAAGAGAACTACTTTTATCAATATGACCCCAGGAGCTCACTTTTGACCATCAATTCATTATTCCAATTAAATCGGTAGTCCTTTGTTCACCGTTGGGACTAGTACTAGAGGGTTTCTTTTTCTTGTAGCTAGACCAAAAATCTCATTAAGGTCCACATCATCAGTGCCAACACCTTGAGGCAATGCCCAATCAAAATGAAACAAGAGCCGAGCAAGTGCAATCTCAACTGTTGCCAGACCAAAGGTGTAACCAGGGCAACCTCGTCTACCACCGCCAAATGGTAAAAATCTAAAGTCTTGATCCTTGACATCAACGTCTGTATCCTCAAACCTCTTAGGATTATATTCCAGAGGACTCTCCCATGAATTCGGGTCCCTTCCTATAGCATAGGTATTGATAAGGACTCGAGTTTTGGCAGGTATTTTGTAGCCATCAAGAATGCATTCATCCATGGATTCTCGTGGAACAAGTAAAGGTACCGATGGATGCAATCTCATTGTCTCCTTGATCGCAGCTTTCATGTAGTGAAGTTGCGGTAGATGGCTTTCATCAACTTTTCCGGTTCTACCTGCAATGCTTCGAACCTCTCGTTGTGCTTTCTTCATCAATTCCGGGTGTCTAGCCAACTCTGTCATTGTCCATTCTAGGGTTGCAGCTGTTGTATCAGTTCCAGCAACGAACATGTCCTGTTGAAAAATGCATTTTAGTAGGGAGAACTCAATCATTGACTATTGTGCTATATGAACTCTGAAGTCTGACCCCGGACCACTTTGTAATCGAATCTTTCGCAACGAAAGAAAAGACTCTACAGTGCTCATAGTCCAAACTCCAAACGCATTCACGTGTGGTCTCAGTCCTTAGGTTTTCTTGGGCTTGACTCTTAATCACCATTACATGCTAGGAACAACTATGGTAGTAGGCTCTGCATCCGTGGAAAATATGCAAGTGAATTAATGCCTTTATCTGGTGAAATTTATTTCATGTGCGTTTTACTTACTTTATTAATAAAATTTCAACAAGTAGTTGAGTACTGCACAAATTTCCAGGCTTACAGAAAAAAAACTATGGTACTAGACTCAATAATACAGCCTGTAGGACCAGCAATAGGAGGTGTCCTAAGCCCGTATTCCGCGGTATCAAATTCATAAAATGTAATTGTTATTTTTTATTCACAAAAAATGCTTTTATGTACTTGAATAAAAATACAAAACTTTGTACGCGACATAGGTTGACGTAATTGATAAAATTGTTCACTTACTTCAAGTAATTAATAGTTATTAAAGTTATTAAAATAACACTCAAAATTAATTGAAAGTTGAAACCTTTTAAACACCTAAAGTCGTCCCCAAGCAGTACCTAACCACGAATATGGTGTTCTCAGGTCAAAAATGTAAAAGGCCGTGGCCGACGGATGAAGGGAAAGACTGGTCCTATATTAATTAATACCTCTTTGTTCTTACATCATTATCCTGCCTAACATTTTTGCGTATCAGATAAATACACTTCCTTGACTTTAAAACAAAACCACGACCATGACAGACGACGTGATCTTATTAAACTCCTGCATGCAACAATAGTGTCCACATCCATCCCTCTTATATTGATATATATAATACCTGCTTCGCTAAACTCAAACGGAGTCATCATTACCAACGCCAACTCAACTCACTGCAAACTACAAACCGGGAAATGAAAAGACAGAAATAAAGGGGGAGGAATTAATATTTACCAGAACAAGAGCTTTGAGATTATCATCTGTAACGGGCACTTCCAGGTCATCCCGTTTTTGCACCCTTAACAAAACATCTACGAAATCCTCTTTGTTCCCTTCCTGCCCTCTCCAGCGCAAATGCTCCTCTATTATCTCATCGCAAACCCTCCTTAACTCTTCCAAATTCTTCATCAACCTCTTCTTGTACCCACTCACTGAGTGAACCCACTCCCACTCGGGAAAAAAGTCGCCTATGCACAGCCCAGCGAACAGCTCCTGCGTCTCGGTCAGCACCCCAGCCAAATGTCTCTTTTGCCCTTCTGACCCTACCCCTTCCGTGAACCTCCTTCCAAATGCCACTCGACATAGGATATCATTCGCCAAGGAGAAGAAAAGCTCGCTTACGTTGACCTCTGACTCCGATCGAGTTGACAACGCCGTGAGCAACCGGTTCACCTCTTCGTCTCGTACGAGTTTGAAAGAACTGACACGCTTCGAGCTGAGCAGCTCGGTGACGCAAATTTTTCTAGCTTGACGCCAGTAAGGGCCGTAAGGGGAAAACGTGACGTCAGAGGAATTGAAGGAAAGGTATTGAGCGGAGACGAGTTGAGGGCGATTGGCGAAGACGTGGTCGTGGGTCTTGAGAATCAGTCGAGCGAGTTGAGCCGAGGAGACGACGATGGTGGGAACTTGGCCGAGTTGGAGGTAGATTATGGGACCGAGTTTTTGAGCTAGTTCAGAGAAGGTGTGATGTGGCATGTCAGTGAGGAGGTGAAGGTGACCAATTATGGGGAGTCTTGTCGGTGAGGGTGGCGCTACTGACCTTGACTGTGAGTTTAGCTTCGACCTGTAGTTTGCATCCAACTTTCGTCTGTAAAGGATGAAGTAGAGGGGGACAAGCAAGAGTAGGAGAGAAAGGAAAATGGTTTGAGGGGTAAAATGGTCCATTTGCTTAATGGAAGTAACTATTGTATCAGGCCTGTAAGAGCTAGATACGAAGAAAAGCACAAAGGCTTTACGGGTTATATCGACGGCGAACTATTTTGTTATGACTGAAATAACCCTCTTGTTGCGCGTGTTCCACGTTAGAACAAGGGGTATATTTGAGAAATGATGTTGATGCAGATAGATAGCTACTTTGAATAGAGACCAACTACCATTCTAACAAAGTTGAATTCTACAACTTAAAGATACAGGTGCAGAGCTGTCCAAGCATTCTATCTTGTCTTGGCTCTTATGTATATTTATGTCCGAAATTTAAGTTCAAAATGGGATGTGCCCAATTTTACGATCCACACACAAAAAATATAATGATTCTAAATAGTTACAACAAGTGCCATTCCAATTCTCTTTGTGGACTTGATTTTTGCATACGGAGTTTCCTTCCATTTATGTTTATCCAATTCTCTGGCTGCTCTTTGTCTTTTGATTAGATATTTTGCCATTCTTTGCTTGCCCATCTTTATGTTGGCTTACATTTTTATATGTATCGTTCCTTTTCATTTTCCTTTTTATTTGTTGCGATTTAGTCTATGTTTGGGATTTCTTCTCTATTTTTTGACTCTATGCGTGGGTTTTATTTTTTTAATCGCTTCTGCTTTGTCTTGCTGATGGTTTTTGTTTGCTCTTGACCATTTTGGAATTTAGGATTTCTTTGTCTTTTATGCTTTGTGGCTTTTTAGTATTTTTTTTTATCGTGGTTTTGGATTTGTCACGATTTAGGGTTTATTTTTACCAAAAACAATTATTATGGGCTTTTAGTATTTGTGGTTCTTTATTTATTTTGATTTAGGGGTTTTTTATTCGAAAGATTTTTTTTGCGTGTTTAGCAATTTCTACCTATATGATTGTTATATGTGTATCAATGTTGTGCACTCAACAGTATTCTTTCATAGTCAAGCTCTTGTTTTTGTTAAAGATTTAAATCATACGTAACGAAATATTATTAAAATTTTAATCCCTTAAGTCATGGACTACTTTAATTGAAATTAATTTAGATCACATCCAATTGAAGTCAAATTAATTTCAAGAATTCACCTTATGTGTGTGACCCATTAAGTTCCTAACATGTTGATAATAAATATAAATTAATTCAATTAAGAATTTATATTTATATTTATAGATCATGAGCAGTATCTAGCAATACATTATGACCATCCAAATGTTAAAAAAGTCAAGATAATTTAACTAATCTTTCAGTGTAGTATATCTCATTGTAATTCAATCATTTCATCATATATCCTAAATAGATAGAAAGTTTGGCTCGATGTCTACTTTTTAACTTATCCATATTAGTCTTGCAGCTTCTATATTGACATTGTCTTAGTCAAGGACTTTTAATCAATATAAGTCAGTAGCAAATGAGATATGTCCCCTTTAAATCACTTGAAGTGATAAATCCTTTCTGGACTACTTATTCATCTTCACATGTTTCATGCTATACTCAAAAGCACCTTATTTAAGCATTTAATTACCTTCAGACCTGTAAAGGTGAAATCAAAGCATGACAATTCACATACAAGATGACCTGATATCATAAGTCTAAGGATTACTTACACTACTAACACATAAAAGTATTTTCGCAAACACTTAAGTGAAATCCCAAATGAAACTCTCATAGTGGGTCATGTTCAGTAAACTTGTTTTTTAACAAGTACCCACATACTATCCCTAAGTATCTCACATACTTTAACTATGAGATCAATTGCTTACTTCTAAAGTAAGAAGGCTTAATATGAACTAACTTTTGAGCATTGTCAATACCTTTATTCTTGACAATACAATGACTAGGAACATATTTAGGAACAAGGTTTTTATCCATAAGAATCTCATAATTATAACCTTTATAATTTCTTTGCAAAGCCATTATGTTCCAAAGACGTTATCTACATAAGTCTCTCATAACTTTTTATAAATAAACCCATGAATAAAGAAATACCTCATATATTATATAAAATATGCATAATGTATTTAACATGAAATATGATTAATTAATGTAGTATTTTATAAACACAAAATCGATTGGCTTGTAGAGCTTACACTAACCGTTTTGTTTTTTTTTTGTTTCCTCATTTGTTTTTTTTTTAATTTTCTTTTTTACAGTAAACTTTGGTCATGGGATTGCTTATTCAGGTGCGGTCCAGTTTCGATGTATAATTTATCTCAAGTTGAACATTTGGCTTTATAACCATTATTGTTTGAACTTTGAAATTAGATGGTTTGATTTTCCTTTTAGACATGTTTTTGTTCTTTTTTCCTTTTTAGTTTTCTTTTACAATGAGTTTACACTAAATAATTGTTTGTTTATATGAGGTTAACTCTCAAATCAGTTTCTCTCTGACATTATCACATTAATGCACATAGTTGATCAGGAATTATAGATGATGAATTTCGTATTTGCTCAGTCAACTTTCTTCCACTTCTCATTTAATGTTGCCTAGCATTCATGACATTAGTATTACCTTTAGTATAAATTAGCACTCATGATATTGTGTAAGATACATGAATTACCTTTATATTCTATCCAAACAAGCATTATATATTTGCTCTACCATATAAGGGTTTAGGGGTTATTATTAAACATCACAAAAAAAATTAAATTTTAGTCCATAAAAAGTGATAATAATCTACTACATAACTAATGACTCATTTATTATTCAACATTTATCACTAATATGGATTATTAGACTTAATTAGTGTTTAGAGAAACTATAACTAGATTTTGTCCACATTATCTGATTTTGCAATGCATTATCTGTTTTTGCTCATTTGGTTTATTATTAAACTTTTCAATTGCAGTGTATTATCTATTTTTGCTCTTTTGGCTTTATATTAAATTATTTTTCTTTGACTCACTATTTATGTGTTATTGAGTCAAGCACCAATTTTATATGTTTTTATTTTTTTTTTGTCTCCTCATTTGTTTTCTTCAAAATTTCTTTTTTTTTTCTTGCAACAAACTTTAGTAAGACGATTGCTTATTCAAGTGTGGTCAAGTTTCAAATAACAATTTATTTAAAGTTAAACATTTGGCTTTATAATGATTACTGTTTGGATTTTCAAGTTTAATTCTTTGGTTTTTTTAAGATTGTTTGTTTATTTGAAGCTAACTCTTAAATCAGCTTCTGTGTGGTATTATGACATTAATCCACATAATTTATCAAGCATTATGAATGATAGTTTTTTTTTTGCATTCGCTTGCTTCTTTCTCAGGTTAATGGATCTTACCCTTTTAGTTTTTTTTTTTCTGTTTTGGATTTAATATGATGGTTTTCCTATGCTTGTTTTTGTTTCTTAATCCTTATTTGGGTAACCCAGATTTGGGTTTTGTTCTTTCCCTATTTTTGCATTCGTTTCTTTTCTTATTCACTTTAACTGGTTCAACTTTTCAACCTTGTAAAATTTCCAACATTTATCGTTGATTCTTTCATTTTAAGGTAGTTTTATGTTTATGTTCTTTTAACTTTTTATTTATTATTAACTTCAATATGGGATTGCCTTTGAATTCTTTTTCCTAATGTTCTTATTTCTTTTATTTCATCATGTTTTGATTATTGTGGATTTTTTTTATTGATGTTTTTGCTATTGAGCATGTTTTAAATTGGCTTTGTCATTGCTTTTAGTTAATAAGTGTTTGATTCGTCTTTTTCTTTTCATTAATGATGGTTTTTTTTTCCATATCTGTTCATAAGTATATGAAAAATTTAACAGGTTATTCTTATTAGTTTTGTTCTTGATGATAGATAGTCTTTTTACTTTGTTTGTACTTTTATTTTTATTTCTTTACATATTTGAGTTCGACAATTTGTTTTATTCAATTTTTTTTAAATGTGCTTTTTGCTAATGTTTTCATGGGTTTCTCTTATGGATTTGATTTTTATTTTTGTTTTGCAGGAAACTTGGATCGAGAGGTTTAGTATTTGTTGACTGTTTGATCTTCTTACTATTATTTGACGTTTATTTTCTATTGAATCTATTAACTTTGTTTTAAGATTACTTGACGATAGTTTTTGCCATGCTGTTTTCCTATTGAAATTTAGTGGACTTATGCTTTTTGGTATTCTGTAGCCTTAGCTAAGCACATTCATTGTATGTGCGTATCTTTATAATTTAACATGCTTCCTGGTTAAATAATGTTTATGGTTTACAAATTTTACATACTGACTCTGTAATTTTTGTTATGTTAATTCATGGACTATTATAAATGATTTTCAGTAAGAATATATTTTTTTTTATTGTTGCTTTATTAAATTTTGAGAATCTATGTTTTATTTAGAATTTTTATTTAATGTTCATATTTCTGTCACTATGTCTATTTTGTTTGATCAAGGCTCTAATCAACCAGACAAGGGTGTTTATGATGGGTTTAACAAACGAAACAATCCAAACAGGAAGTGAAAACTACAAACTATTTGATTCCAATCAACCTTAACTTCTACATTGGAATGCTTCAACTTCTGCAACCACTTCACCATCCTCAACACCAACACCAACACTGGAGGCACTGGAAGAACAAACCCTATCCTCACTAATTAAAAACCAAGTGGCTAGAGAGTTTTTGCTAGATTCTACACCACAGAAACGAACCATAATCAGCAAATCAGAGAATTCCTAAAACCAACTTTTATTGGAGCTTACACTGCAAAAAAAAAACCCATTGCCAACAAAAATGAACAATCACCCACCAAAAAATATGAGATTAAATACAATATATGAACTCCTACACTTTTCATGTACCATAATCATCAAGTTTATTTATTCCTCATATACTAATTAACCATAAAATTTCTTCTTTTTTTTCTTCATGGAGTTACCTTCAAAGCTATTCACACACCTAAAAAACAAAACGAGCAAAAAATCTTCACCAACCACTTGATGTTGATAGAATTTGGAACTACAAAGAGACCTATGCCTCAACATGCTTTCTATTTTTGTTAACAAGCACTACTATACATGAAAAACTATTATGTTATTTTTTGTTATTTTATGTATACGTCTGTGTACAGAAGCAAAGCATAGGATCTTGGCCTTAATTTCCATCAAGGACCTTCGTTTTTTGTGGACTAGCTACAAAATGATTAATTAGCTTATAAACACCGCTTTCGATTTTTGTTGACAGGCACAATTGCAATGATGACTTTTGTATATACATAACAACCAGCAAAAAACCAAAATAACATATAATATTTCCACCTTTAGTTTGGCAGCTTATCCCAATAACTATATTTTATTACATTTAAAAGAAATAATCTATGCTTTTAAACAATTAAAGTACACCAGAAGAGTTTTTCCAACCTATTCATCATTTGTCAAAATACATATATTACCTATTTATAGTCTTTCTAAATCGACATTGTAAGTTGTAATGATTGTCCAACTAACATTTTTGCTAGATACATCTAAGAGTACAAAATCAATGAATTCAAGCTCTGTTTTCTTAACTATTAAGTAAACCAACACATTAAGCATGCTTTGTTCATTTGTTGTGGCTAGATTCTGACACCAACTTCTAATTTCTATGAATTAAAAATTACTTCTTAATACTAATCCCTAATCAAAGATTTTTTTTATATATATTTGAGATGATAATTTTTTAATTGATATTTGAGATGACATTAAAATAATAGTATATTTATTAGTTAGTTAACTCTTTAATTTCATTATTATTCAAAGGGTTTAAATATAATTAGACATAATGCTTAAAAAAAATTTGAACTATTAAAAAAATTAAAATAAATTCTTATCTTTGATTACATTCAATCGAGTCCATATATTTTTATTTTCAATTAAATATAAACTTATGACTAACAATTAATTAATTATATTTAGTTAAAATACTACTTGTCATTTTATAACTATGTTACTAACGTAATTGAAGCAAAAGGTTAAAAATGTTATATGATCATATCATTATATCTCATCAACATATCATGTTATCATGTTCATTATGACATGTCAATATACTAATCATTGCCATATACACAATGACATTTGAATGAGTAACAATTAGTCAATCATTTAAGAACTTATTTAAGGGAAAATAAAAATATAAAAAATTTGATAATTTAACCAATAACAATGAGTCGCTGAGAAACGATGTCGTATTAGATGCGTCGGTCCCGCCCGGGCAACGCACGGCCATTTGCTAATTGCTGTGATTCTGCGAAGGAAACCTTACACGAGGCAAAGATTTCGTTCTGGAGAAATACAGAAATTAACCGAGTCCAGTCCATCGATCCGAGTCCAGAAATGTCTACTCATTCCTTTAAATTGTCAACCGTCGGACTCCTCTTCCCATCATCATCCATTGCGGTTCTCTTCTTTCTATTTGACAATAACACTAACAATCAAAGCTCCAATTTCTCTTTTCTTCCTCCAACCGAGCAAAGCAAGAACAGGGTAAACAAACAATCCGAAGAAAAATGTCTCAAGCTCTATTAAATCTGACCATCTCTCTCCCATTATATTCCTCCAATAAAACCAGCGATTTTTGTCACCTTCCCTTTTCAAAACTCCCCCAGAACAGATGCGTCAAGGCCATGGCAGGAGCGAGTAGAGACAACCTTGACTACTTGCAAAGAGCTAGCAAACACCACCAGTCGCAACCTAACAAGAAAAGGGTTGGCCCTGTTGCACCAATAGGTATATAGTATGATCAAAATTTCTGTTTTTCCAAGCTAATTTCTTCTCTCTCTCTCGTTTCTTATTAAATTCCGGATGCTGATCGAATCTTGAACTTGTTATATAAGCAGGGTTGTGGGACAGATTCCCAACAGCAAGAACGGTGCATCAGATGATGGAAACAATGGAGAGGATGTTGGAAGACCCTTTTGCATACTCAGGCACGTGGCCATCTCCATTACCAAGTGAGAACGGTGGTTACAGTAGAGGACGGACACCATGGGAGATTAAGGAAGGAGAGGGGGAGTATAAGATGAGGTTTGATATGCCTGGCATGAACAAAGATGATGTGAAGGTGTGGGTTGAAGAGACGATGTTGGTTGTCAAGGCTGAGAAGGTGCCTAAGAAGAATATTAATGGTCAAGAGAATGGAGAAGAGGAAGGAGAATGGTCTGCTACGAGCTATGGCAGGTACAATAGCAGAATTGCATTGCCTGAGAATGTTGTGTTTGAGAAGATTAAAGCTGAGGTGAAAGATGGGGTTTTGTACATAACTATCCCCACGGCCAGCAGTAATGGTAGAATTTTGGACATCGATGTCCAATGATGATTTTTGTGCTTTGCTTCTTTTCCTTTTCTTGGAAAATAGTAGCTTTCTTTCCTTTTTTTTTTTTTTTGTAACAATTCACAAGATCATAGGCGATGATCAAGGGCTGATAACAAAGGGATTTGAGAAATTCATTCTCCGAAGTTGCTATATCAGTTTACCCAAGGTGTTTGTAACTGTTTTATTTTGCTGATTATTCCTTTTTTTTCTGACGAAGATTATTTCCCTGTTTTAAGCTCCATTGAATGTCAAACAAGAATTAGAAACGAGTTAAAGCTCATTCCGCGTTAATGTTCAATATGAATAAGTTTGTTGGGAGAGCCTGATAGTTCATGGGTACTTCCAACTGAACTGATCAACCTTCTTTACTCAAAAGTAAATGAATAATCTATAGCCTATATTTAAAGGCTAGGCCATAAATGATCAAGGGTTCAGAATTTAGCACTCCACAGCCACTGCTCTGTCTTACATTAATTGTTGAAGGTTTTTGGCAATGAGTTCTGTCCATGGTCCAAAGCATAACCAAAGCAAGGTTGGAGTTATAATTCCAAGATTGTGGAAAACCCTGTTATGTCCAATCACACTGCCTCGATCAATAATTCCTGAACTTGCAGCAACCTCAGAGACAGCATAGATGCTCTATTGTTAATGTGGTCTTGTAAAACAGATTATGTTGAATGCAATGGCAAAATTATCAAATGACGTTTTGACTTGAACAATCTTTCAGCAACTCTTTGAGGCTTTCTCCACTGCTTTGATTGATCTTACCAGTCCCATGCTACTGTTTTTGCCTGAATTATAAGTGGAGATGCTGAGAATTCAAGTGTGATTTTGTTTATGATTTGGATTAACCGTTTTTATTCAAGCAATGGTACAAAGGATTCAGTTCCATGAATCACTCCAATTTTTTACCTCTATCATTGATTCTTCTAATAAGATTTTTTACACCTATAAATGGCTAAACATGTCCTCAAATTTCCCTACTAATTTAGCATTCATATTTCCAGTCCCTCCAACCAAACCCTTTCCTTCCCAGCAGAAGAAAAAAAAAAAAGAGGGGTAACTTTCTCTTATGATCCGTAATATTTTTATTTTAAGTTTCATTTTAGTTTCCCTAAGCTTATAAAATGATTTCTTTCCACATAATACGTCATATAAACACTCTTTTGACATCAAAGTGGATGTTTTTACTTCATTGTTAATAAAAGAACTACTTTAAAGGGTTAAGGATCAAAATAAAATAATATATACAAAGATTAAAGTGGAATCAAATTAAATAAAATTAAATGTTATGGATGGAAGTTAGGGTTGAAACTTTGCCATTGACAATTTTGTGTAGTACTATAACATTGTTGTATCAGCTATGGCTTGCATTCAAATAAATAAATATTGACTTGCACCTGCATGAACAGAGAACAAATAATCTCCCTAAAACAATGCTGCCTCTAGCATTAGCCTTTTTTCTTTTCTTAGTTGCTTTTTTCCTTACCAATCAGACACAATTTTCTTTCCTTGAAAGTGTTAGAATAACACTTGCAGCAATGATACTTAAAAGCCATAAAGATGGTTGTAACATCCTCCATCAAAGTCAAACCCAACCTTTACTTCTCACACAATTGCAGACAAAAGCCGTTTAGAAGCCTATTTTCTTAAGACTGGATTTGTCTGCCTCTATGGCTCCACTACCAATTCTTTCTTTCCCTTTTTTTTATTTTGGTTTTCATGGCTTCCTAATTCAAATTAGTGGCCAAATTAAACTAATGCAATAAGCTTCGGAGATTCTCTGAATCCAGAGTACCCACATTCTTTTTTATTTCTTTTCTGTCTTGACATAAAGTAGTCATAATCATCCATCAAAAAAAAGGAGAAAGGGTGGAACTAGACGTTGGGAAGCTTTCAAATTTCAACTTATGGGACCCAATTCACTGATCGTATCGGACCCAGATCAGATCCATCTTGCTGAAAAGAAAAATGATCAGATCCTTTACGAGCATAGATTCATAGGAAAAACATAGAAAAGAAGACCGTCATAAAGTGACGTTAAAGAAAAAGAAAAACAAAACCAAGCTTTAAAAGCATACAAGAAAACGCCCCACACTAGAGGAGCTTTCTTGCACATCTCAGAGTTGCACCCACTGTTTAGGATGGACATTGAAATGGACCCATGACCCTGAGCCTAGCTAGAGACAGAGCCTTTGTTTCAAATAACGGTTAGAAGGAGGAGCCTGCTATGGTGGGTTTCTTTTTTTCTCTTGCGGAGTGAGAGGAAGCTGAAGGTGTGAAGCACAAGAGTGAACTAGAAGAGCAAGAGAAGAGAACAAGAAACTAAAAACACAAAAAGAAACTTTAGGGTTGTTGTGGGAAATGGGTGAATCCGCTTGTCTTGTAAGACCGTTTTCTAATCCTGCAGATATTTCTCTTGAAGCTAAAGAGGTCAGTTTTGTGAACAAAAACTGAAACTTCACTGACACAAGTTTTCCCATTTACTGTGTTTACTTAATTGGTTCTCTTGATTCAGTTGTTTTGTTTTACCGACACTTGTTTGGTTGCTGGGAAATTATTGGAAAAACTCATAAGAGATCTGAACGACACGTTGGGGCTGTTGATGACCGTTCCCCTTCAGTCGCAGTGACGAAACAGAAAATATTATGATAGCTTGACGTCCCAATGCTTTCCCTAACAAAAAAAAATTTGATTATGCTGTTTTTCTTTTTCATCACTCTTTGTATTAATGAATGGAGATGTCAATAAAGGACGGAGCTTTTTAACAAGCTTTTAGTTTTATTCTTTCGTAGCTTTGAAGCATTTAGTCAGTAAACTGATGATCGATCTTAAAACACAGGGTGATCCGATTCGTGCTCTCACCGAATCAGTATCTTTCGGTAGATTTATGTCAGAATCGCTGGCGTGGGAGAAATGGTCAACCTTCTCTCACAATCGTTACTTGGAAGAAGTCGAAAAGTTTTCAAAGCCAGGTTCTGTTGCCCAGAAGAAAGCTTTTTTTGAAGCTCATTACAAGAGAAGAGCTGCAATGAGAGCAGCTGCCTTGCTGGAGCAAGCAAATACTGTTTCCAATGGTGTCTCTCAAACGGGAACTATCAATGCAGCTTCGATGGACTCTTCCTTAAATACAGATTCAGCCAATGCAAACGCCTCTGTGGCTATGGATGAACAACAGGAGAAAGATGTTTCTGATGCTGAGGTAGCTAATACTGCTGATGTAGATGCAGGCAATCTTAATGTTGGAAGAGGTAATATGGATGTTGCTAACTGGGACAGAGGTCAGGCAGTAATGGACCAAGATGTGAATGTGGAGAACAACACCCATGTTGGAAATTCAAATGCTCTTGAAAATGTTGACAATACCCATGTTGACCATGGCATGATAATGGTCACCCCAGACAAGAAGATGTTCCTTAAGGTAATGTTAACTTAAACAACGTTTTCTCTTTTGTTCTTCGATGTCAAGTCTTTATGGTTGTCCTCATTCTGCAATACTGCAGGAACGTACTGATCAGAAGAACTCAACTTCATCAAGCAAGAAAAGGCGAACAAATTCTTTGTCGAAGTCATCAACTCCCTGCAGAGCCTCCAAACTTCCATTACATCCTTCCAAACGAGTGGCTTCAGCACAAGCCAGGAGTGATACTGGTGTTGATAAATCCACCGGAAACTCAATTGACAAGAAGAAAACAATTCCAAACTCGCTCCACATATCAATCAATTTTGCTTCTGGTGCCAGTAAAACTAGTAAAACATCACTCAGAATGCCGAAAGATAGTTCAACTCCTCTACAAACCCCAACCAGGGCATTAAGGAAAGCTGCTGATCAAGAGAATTTAGCTCCATCAATTGAAAAATCAAATTCCGCATCAAAGTTATCCAATCATGGTGGAGTATCCAAACAAGCAACTTCAAGAATTGGGTATAACCATGCTCTTATTAGTAGGAAGTCTGCAGTAAACTCAGATGAGCAAAAGAGAGTAGTTCAAAAATCCCTTCACATGTCTATGAATTTCACTCCTCATGCTAGTGAAACCAATAAAACATCACTCAAGATACCAAGGGACAATTCGACTCCACAACAAACTCCAACCAGGGTACTTCTTCTATCACCATTTTTATTTGCTGTTCTCCTTATCAGCTCATTAAGAAACAATTGCATGCACTGAAACAGTATTGGATTTTCAATAGTGGATGACAAAATAACAATATTTATGATGTTTCAAAAGGTGAAAAAATCACAGTATTGTTGCCTATGCAATTTTATTTGCAAATTTTTTTAGAGGGTAATGCAGGAGACACCAACTGGTTTTGATTTGTTAAATGACCTAGAGCAGTTTCATTTACAAACTGCAGGCATCTGTTAATGGGTGTTCAAGGAATCCTTCAAAAGATCTTCAGTCACAAGATAAAAGGTAGTCTTCCGTCACAAAATGTCTTTGCTGACACTTTGCCTTAAGGTCTTTTCTCTTCCGCTGACATGATTATATCTACTTTTACAGGACTAGAGCAGTACTCAATAAGTCAGTTTCAGGAGGGGTAACAGGAGATGGGAGATGGCCCTCCCTCTCCAAGTAAGAGCGTTTGCTATTTAACCTTTTACATGTTTTTGCATGCTGGGGGTGCACTAAAACATAATCAGGTTATTGGTATACTCTCTCTTTTTTTGGAAGCTACCAATGTTGCATTATGCTGTACAGTGTACACAGTGCGTTCTGTTTTTTCGGCTGTGCATCCACGTTTTAATTTCAAAGTACTAAAATTAAATTTATGATTCCATGATGTTGTATGCTCCAGTCAGTAGCTTCTCTAGGCTCCCTTTTCTTGATTATACTTTTCATATCGGGTCTCAGTACTATTGACCTGATTATTGATGCCTCTTTCCTATATGAACCTCATAACTGTTCTCTATTGAATGTGTGGCAGCTGTTCCAAATCTTCAAGTGCAAGTGGAACTAGTACGCGATCAACTATCAGTTCCTCTCCATTTACTTTCAGGAGCGAAGAAAGGGCAGCAAAACGGAAAGAGGTAAGTCTTACTGTTATTTCATCTCATGCTTTAATTATCACGATCTTAATTGCACCAAGAATTTAATAGTGTTTCCTTGCTCACCCCGTGCCAGTTCTTTGAGAAGCTAGAAGATAAAATGAATTCAAAGGAGGCAGAAAAATCACAAATGCAAACACGATCAAAGGTACAAGTCAGACAACCCTATTAGGATGTTGGTATCTGGATTATGGAGTTAGAAGTAGCATAATTGATGAAACCCTGCAGTTGCTGAGGCCAAGCTCCTAAATTGCAGAGATGTGAACTAATTCAAGAATCAATTTAGATGAGTTGCCCTATTTGATCTAGATAATTATGTTATGCTTTATGAATACTGTCGCTGCGTGTGTGATACATGCACATTATGTATACTCTGTGCGTGCATGTCTAGATTATGTAATCGTGCATGAGTATAGTATACAACTTATATGCTTCTTTTGAGTACAATAATAAACCTAGTCACAAATAAAGGCAATTTCATTATTGGCATTGCATGTGAAATCGATAAAAGTAAAACATATGTCATGATATGCAGGACAAAGCAAAGAATGACCTTAATAAACTCAGGCAGAGCACTGATGTTAAAGCCAGACTAAATGAATATTTATACCATAGATCACAGTCTTCATACAATCATGTTAAGAAGGTTTCCATGTCTATCTTAACCTGCTTTTTTTTTATGCTGACTATACGATAATGGAATTTTAATCATGCATCAAAGTATCCTGCTTGCCTTCAGCAGTATCTTGAACAGCTTAGCTGTGAGTTTAAATTTTTGGGATCTATGCCATGAAATAGAATTAAAGGTTTTCGTAAGTTTATTTGTTAGTTCAATTCATTTCTCTTGATGGTCAGTAGGTGCACAGGCAGACTTAACTCTGTCCCAATCTTCCCCGAGTGTCATTCCTTCTCCTTTTGATGGGTGTAATTGAGAAAGGATGGTGTTCTATGGCTTTTTTAGATGTTAGCAGCTTTTGTGTTGTAGTTCTCACAGTAAATTTTTCCTTGCAGATTGTTTCGAGTTGGTCTCAATCACCAAAATTTGGAAGAAAGCCATCTCCCAGTACAGCGCAGGAGACAAACTCCAGACCTCCAAGGAGGCCTTCCATCAATACTAAAAGCTCTAAGCGTGTATTAATGAATAATAACAGGATAGCTTGTTCCGTGACCTCATTGCCAAAGAACAGACATGAAAATGCTTCCCCAAATATCCAGCATTCAGTAGGCAAAGAGAGTATTTCATACAGGCGTGACCGTGGAGGATCTATTGCTGGTGGATGCAGCCACTGACCTTTTCTTAATTGATTTAGTAATGACATTATAGAAATTGAAAAATACTGTTATAATGGAAGATAGTACTAAGTGCCTGTCTGTATACATGTTTTGTGGCTTTGGATGTATCTGGGTTTATGTTAGTTCTCTGTGCCAAATTTGTATGAAATGAAACGAATGAACATGATGAACCTTGTGAATTGTTATCAGCTAAAGAGTCCTGGACGCTCAAGGCCATGCAGTACAAAATCAACTCAATGATGAGCGCCCTCTCCCGCAACTTTTTTGCAAAAACAAGAAAAAGGAAAGGATTAAAAGACAAAAATAAGAGGGAGGGAGGAGATTAAATCCATTCTTGCACTCAAGTTCACATGTGGCTTGCATACATGCATATTTATGCAGCACTGAAAGATGCATGTCCCAAGTTAGAAAACTCGTAGCAGCAAAATTATTATGGTCAACGTTTTATCACCACCCATATTATACATGTTTCAACATCCAAGTCCAAACTGATTGGGAAAATGACATCCCCATCCATATAAATGAAGTACTCCACTTATAGATATTACCTAATATACCAAAAGATCCTTTCTTCACCAAGGATGCACTGCAAGAACAACTTCATGCTAAGCAAACAACCCTTGATCTATTGCAGCATATTCAGTAGGGTCAAACAGATGCTCGTGGTCAAACCTTGGTGCATCATACAAGAGGAATGGAATTTCAGCAATGAGTGGTGGATCGTTATACTCAATACACTCAAAATCCTGGAGCCCAATATTCATAGCATAATAATCACCTTGAAGCCAACAGAACTGTAAGTCCTCACTCAAAGATGCATAAGGTACTCCTACTCCCCCATTCAGGTTTCTCTGTGCAAATTCCACGTCATTCAGACTTATGCCCTGATTTTTCGTGCTTGACATAGTAGCAGAAATGGGGTTGAAAACTTGATTATTTAGTGTTTGGTTTTTGCTTGGAACAGGAAACAAGTCAACTGCTTCTGTTGGACTTAAATGTTTGACATGATTGCTTCTATATTCATCATACAAAGGCTTGCTACTAACCTCTTTTTCAGTTATGGAAGGTCCAGAGCTAATGGATGCAGCAGGCTGTAAATATTCAGTCTGGACTTGATGCTGTGAGCCAGGCAGTGGTAGTTGGCTGAAGCCATTCTCTAATTGCAACGGTTCACACTCTTGTTTGAACTGAATTTCAGAAATTTCACTCCAGGAGTACTGTGTCTGGTTGGTAGAATTGAATAATGCAAACTTAAGACCTGAATCAACTGATCCAAGGGAATGATCAAAGCTTATCTGTGAACTCTGGGCTTTACGTGGATCAGGAATATCTAAAGACAAAGCTCCTTTGGCCTCTGCCACAGGCGCTGAAGTAATTCCTTTTTTATCACCTTCATGATTGAGATCCACATTCTGAACAAGTGAGTTATTAACAGAAAAATTATAGGTGCTATTTGAAACATCATCTTGTATCATGCTCATTGAGCTATGGATACCAAAACTGGCAGTAGAATCTTTCGAAGGTGGATCTGAATGCTTCATTCCAAGAAATGAATTTTTGACATCACTGTCTTTCTGCAACCTACTCAAATAGAGGCGGTACTTCTGCAGAAGAGAATATTTCTCAATGAGAATCTAAACAATTTCTTAGATTATAGACAATTAACATCACTTTCTTTATCCTGTTTTAAACAATTTTCGAATACATATCTGCAAGTTATGAACAATTCTTAGATTAATGATCACAGATTCCAAAAGCTTAAGAACATAGAAAATTGATGGTATCGATCTCTAGCAAATGCAGCCACAGCTCAAATAACCTTATTAACTCAAAGGGAACAGGATGGTAGTAAACCTTGCTAACTTTCTCTTAGAAAAAAAAGGTGAAAAATAAAGCATATTAATAAGATCTAAAATAGGCCTCCCCAAATTCTTACAAACTTTTCATTTTTATTTGAAAAAAACATATTAGTGTAATTGCCTTCATCCATTTCTTGAACAATCCTAACAAGTAAAATAGATCACACATATTTTTCCTCCAAAAGCTCTAGTATCTAACAAAATATGCAGTAAAATTGTTAATTAACAGTTATTTGGTTGTCCTTTTCAGTTAACTTGGCACTATTAAGAGCAAAGAGTGGGAGGTATTTACCTGCAAGTGGCTGGCAACATTTTCTCTTGTCAACCATGGTACATTCATCAAGTCAAGTATCTTTTTAGGACCAACTTCTGTCAAACAGACATTACAACATAATGAGTTGTTACAAGCAAAATTAAGAATTATAAGCATAACACTAACAGATATATAACTAACAGAAAAACCTTTGGACTATTGCTACAATTACATAAACGGCTACTTCAAGATGATGATCAAGAGATTAAAATCTAAAAGCAAAAGCTTGAATTATACTTACTATCAAATCCAATCTGATTTACGGCTTTGACAAATTTTTGGTGAAGGTCTACAGTCCAAACAACTCTAGCTTTCTTTGTAGAAGAAGGATCACTGAGGTCTTTATCATCATGCTTGTTTTCAGCATCTTTTCTTTTTCTAGCAGAGTTCATATCTTCTCCACTGAGCAAGGGCCCATCGTCAACCAGATCTGAGCCACTTCTTGTCATCTGAAGACCTTCAATGCCTTCCAGACTTTCAATGTCTTTCACTTCATGTATCTTCTTTCTGAACACATGCTGCCATATATTGCGAAGCTCTTTCATTCTTATAGGCTTTAGAAGGTAATCACAAGCGCCATGTTGGACGCCTTTCATGACTCGGCTTGTTTCCCCATCAACAGACATCACTGTGATATTACATAAATGGAACTTGTCAGAGGCTGGTTCTATTGAATTTGAAATGAATAGCGGAGCAAATATTGACATTTAAAAGAAAGATTCGTATGTAACAGTATAGAAGAATAGAACTGACTGATGACAGGTAAGTCCATTTCCAGTCCCACATGTTCTAGAAGTTTAAACCCGTCCATGTCAGGCATGTTAACATCACTGATTACAATGTCATAGCTATCCTTCCTTTCACGAAGCAAGTTCAGAGCTTCTCGTGCAAGACAACATGTAGTTACTGAAACATGTGGAAGCACCAAAAAAGAATGTCAGGATGGTATAAAGATATGCCTGAATGCTTAATTTATTGTCACAGAAAAAAAAAAGGGAAAAAAGGCTGAAGAATCATCTCATGAAAGCATGAAAAAAGAATACACCTATCTTAGATCAGATGTCAATTTTCACTGATAGAACCCACCCTAAAGAAAAAAAAATCAGGTTTTCTATTCTTTGGGACTACCATCTCCAGTTGAAAAGCATCACTAGTCTAACTTCAAGAATTTTTGTGGAAACCAATATCTGACTGAAGTGGCAGAGATCAAAATGAAATTGTACCTCTGAAAGATCCGAACCTAGAGAAAAAGCATAAGCAATAAACAAATAGGAACACCCTCAACTAGTTAGGCAAACTCAACATTTGGCCTATTAGACCCTAAATACATCTACCTCAATCAAGCTTCAGCCAAGGTTTCTTTTTAATTTCCCCTTCAATTTAAAAGTAGATTTTAGTAGATTTGGCTAAAGTCAAGCTCATTAATACATCCATCTGATCTTGTTCAAATTCTACCACCAGCAAAGCCAATAATATCAAAGACAAACCCAGCTTTCACTAGAAGTCATGATCATAAGTCATAAATTACAGAGCAAAAGGTGACAGGAATTGCTTGAACTTCAAGATTGATCAACCTAGCCATAACCTCCGTCGTTAATGTATGTTCCTAGTTTATATGCATCAATGAACGTATATTAAATTAAGTATATATTCAATTTGTGGGAAAGGAACCAAAGGGTTGGGCGAGGGACTTAACACTAGGTTACACCCTGCCCAATTGACCAGCAAAGGTGCTTGAATGAGACACTTAAAGAGCAAAGCCCTACTTCAGGAGGCGATAGGTCTATTAATCACAATTTCCATTATTATCTTCAAAGTCATAACAGATACTTTCACGTCCATTGATTGATCTTCGCAAAATAAATTTTGGACTTGTTTAGATACAAAATCTATGCATCAACCAACGCAGCCGGTACTATCTCACCAACATTATAAACCTTTTAAAACAAAGGTTTTAAACATATTTGTTTTTCGTGCATCCAATGTCCAAAGAATTAGAAAGATATTTCAAAAATGATGCCAGAACCAACATTTTACACCCATAACAAGCCTTCAGACAAGAAACATCCTTTTCATCCCCAATGCCAATACAATTTTCTCCAATAAATCTGGTCATATAAGCCCCATCAGTATCCTCCATGTGGACAAGATGATTAAACCAAAGAACACTAACAGAGCCGAAAAAGGATAATTGCAATAGAAGTGGTAAAAGGCATACTTTTCAATTAAGTCGGTTCAATTTCATGATCCAATATCACAAAATGAACCCAAAATTCATATCTTTTCCACAGTTGTATGACATTTATAATAGTCAGGACCCAAGAGTGACGATCAACCTCACTCACTCAACCGTTGCAGCTAGAAAAAAACTTTCATTTTATAAAATATCCGTAGTCTTAATCTCTCAAATAAAGCATGGATTATGAACTTTACATGCACTTGGACTTGGTAATTGTGTATAAGCTTTGTCCAAATACCCCATATAACCAAAAAACCACCATAAACAGAAAATGAAACATGCCTACATGCTATCCGACCAAACTCGAAAAATGAAGAGGTTACAGCAAAAGAAAGCAAGACCCAACGAACAGTGCATTAAAACAAACAAAAAGACGCCACTAGGGTGTAGTAAGGAAGAAACAGTAACAAAGTAAAGTTGGTACAAAGTTTTGAATAATAACCTTCATAGGAACACTTTTTGAGCATCTTTTCAAGGATCTTCAACCACGTAGGATCGTCATCGACGACGAGAACACGGAGGCCGGCAGGAAAAGCGTCGTGTCGAGGAGAAGAGAAGCCACTTTCGCCCATGCTTTTGTGTTTGATAAGTGAGCGTTGTTGAAAAGGACCCAAGGGTTAAAAGGAGTAGAAGAGGTGAGAGTGAAGAGTGAGGGAAAACAGAGAGGAAGGAAGAAGAGTGGGGTTGGGTTTTAAAAGGAAAGAAGGAGAATAAGGTGGGTTTTTAAGGAAGAAACCGATGGAAACCATGGAATATTTGGCGCCGGCTACTTAACGGTCCCTGTGCCGCACGTTTGCCTTTCTTTCTTTGTTTCCTTTCGGTTAGCTGTCTTCATTTTGATGGGAAATCACATAGTTATTTTTGTCGATAAAAGAGAAATGACTAAAGGGGTAGGCAAAGTGAAGAGAGCGAAATGGGGAATTAGAGTGGTGAAAGAATGTTCTTTTCAATAAGAAAGGCATCTTCTAAATGCTGATATGCCTAATTAGCTTCACCAAGCAATCTCCATTTTTGACGTCTCAGATGATAACCGTGCTTTTTTTTTTTCCTCTCTTCCTTTTTATCAAGACCAAAATCAATATATCTTTTTTGGGAATATGTATAACAATATAATAATGCCAAGAGAATTACTACTTTTTGAAATTTAAATTTATTATAATTCAATTTTTATTCCCTAACATTTTTTTACATTAAAACTTGACTTCACACAAAAATCTTAATATAAATAATGTTAAATATATCCTTTTATCATTTTATTATATGAGTATGGTATCTAAAAAAATCTACCCTCAACATTATATTTCTGCGGCAACACTTGGACTAATATGATTGAAATATTACTTTTTTTGCTCAACTAATATATCTATTCGATTTGTTTGAAAAACTTAAACAATGACTCGTGTGTGTATGTGTTTTTGTTATTTATGTAACTACATTTTTTTCTATCAAACTTTTTAAATAATAAAGAATTAAGGGGGACAATAAATGGGTTAAGGCCTAAGGGATTTTACTCTTTTTTTTTTGTAAAAAAGGATTAATTACCTATAGCTATGTTACGAAAAATATCACAAAAAACATAAATTATATTAGAGTGAACTTCAATTTGGTATTTTTTAAAGAGTTTATAGGAAAACCTATATTGTATTAGTGAACTACTTGAATATGTGATTCTTGCTGAGAGAAGAAAAGATAAATTAATATTAATTTAAGATAATTATTTGCTCTCGTTTCAATTATTGGAAACTTGCAGCTACATATATAATTGTAAAACAATACTTATTCAAAGAAAATGATAAACCTATTAAAGATTATTAGATGTATAATAAAACATTAAGAAATGTAAAAGTATATAACCTGACAGATTGAGATAACTAGGTATATAATATAGAATAATAGTATAATGTAAAAATCTTATCAATATAAAATAGTTACTAATTTCTAATAGTATATGCCTTTTACATATAAATGAATCGTGGAAAATTGTCAAATTCAATTGATTTATTTATTCAGTGATAACTGTGTGCTATGCATATTAAGAAATGAACGGACTTTCTTAATTTTTTTTATTTTATTCTATGAATTAGATGAATATTTATTCGAATTTTAACATTCATGTATAAAAAAGATGTCTAAATACTATAGATTCAAGTTCATGCAGAATAAGAGGATATAGATAAAAAATGATATTAAATTGTAATTGATAAATATTAAATGAATCTATCCTCTAAGTATTAAAAGTTAGAAATTATTATTTTCAAGTTTTTTATTGAATAAAATAAAAGTAAAAAAAAACTTCAAATGCCAAAAATTATGTAATTTTGATATAAGATGTACAAAAAAAAATTAATTCAATTAACAATGATAGATGTCAACCAATTAACCCAATCAATTATCCTACTTTTATATATATTATAGATATTTGGGGATGTTTAGGTTTAATCTTCATTCTTAATATATATATATATATATATATATATCGTATAATCATTCACAACATTTTACATATTGAAATTTAATATTAATTAAATTTAATTTTTGTTTCTATTAATCATATTATTGTTGAATGTTGATATAACCAATTAAACCCGTTAAGAATTCATTTTGTATATAGTTAATAGAATGGAAGGCAAAGTAAAACATGAAATTAACATTTAAACATTTTATTTGATGATAAGTATATGTATTCCCTATCAAATGTTGGTTTCAAATCTCCATCCTCAAAAATTATATTTAATAAAAAATAAAATTAAGTTATTTTTATCCATTATATTACTTTTCATAAGATACATATATGATGTATAATATACGTAAACATTTTAAATGAATTACTTAGTCTTTTATGTAACCAATTATTTTTATGTAACATATTTTTCAGTTTCATTTCTTTCTTCTCAAAATTATAGTCAGATAGTATGAGGAAAATACTTTATTAATAAAAAACCGTAAACATATTATATTTACCATATAAATAGACACATAAGCATATTACATTTACCATATAAAAAAAAAAACTTTTAAAAAATATAAAAATAAAATAATCAATTTGCTTTAAAAAATAAAAAAATCAAATTTAATATTTACATTATAATTAATTAGCATGAATTATATACTTTTGTTTATTATGTAAAATTAATAGTTGATTGGTACGTCTTTTTTGTAAAAGTCCATACATGATTTACCATTTATAAAATAATTTAATAAATGATAAAATAAAATAAAAATGAAAATGATAAAAAGATCATTTTTTTTCTTTATTTTTCATTTCTTTTATTCTCCTTTTCTAATAAAAGAAAAAACAAAAAATTAGTTCGGGTCGTAATGGCTTGACAATTGTCAAGCCATCACAGTCCCCCATGGAACCCAACTTCAACCGCAAGGAATAGATTATATTTAAATAAATATTAAAAAAAGCATATTCCGTTTTCCATACAAATAAAACATGCAAAGATATTACGTCACCATATAAAAATAAAATAATTAATTTTCTTTAGATAAAAATAAAAAAATTACTGTCAATTTTAACATTTACATTATAATCAATTAACATTAATTATATATTTTGATTTACTATCTTCATGAACATAAGACTTAACCAATACAATTTTTTATTAAAAATTTTACCTGCGATTTAATCAATCAAACAATAATAAAATATGGTAAACACATAATTTGATCATGAAAGGGCGAAGGAAATGAAAGGTCTGCCCAAAAAAGAGAAGGATAATATGGAATTGGTGGTACATTGTGGAATGCAATTGAGGGAATGAAGAGAAAGTTTAGATTAAAAGAAAGAAACCTGGCAGAACAGATTGGTACCCAAAACCAAAAATCAAAAAGTTTTTCGAGTACCCTTTTGCTTGTCTTTTGACCTTTTATTATTTCCAGCCAATGCAATGTATGACATATGTTCGGCTTCTTTAGAAATTAGACAACCCTTTTGAATTGCCCATAAACATATAACCTTAAATAAATACCAAAACTGTGAGTAATGGAAGAATAGAAAAATAAAATCCTTTCGATTCTCAATAATTCCGCTAATTTAGAGCATCTCTCTGTACTTTAAGAGTTGTGAGAGAGAGAGGTTTTTGCTCAATATTTTACTGCAAATGGTACAGAAAGAGCGTACGTACGAGAGACCCCAAAATCCAGGCCCTGGAAAGTCTTGAACCTCCACGTAGAACATAGAGATTTTTCAAACAAAGAGTTTGGATCAGAATTCAGACATGGAAATAAAAAAGGATGAACTTCAAGCAGAAGCTCCCAATCACGAGAGACAGAACATCCTTGTCAAGTCAAATTGGGGACCTAAGCATGTGACTGTCCCCTTGCCATTGGAGCGTGCTCCCCACGCATTTCACTTGTCTTTTAATTAATACTACTCCTAACCTTTTAAAGGCGAAGAACAAAAAAAATATCGTAGTAATACTACTAGCTAGGAATACAGCCTGGAAGCTTTATAGGGAGATTCGAAGTCGATTTTAATATTTTTAATTCCATTCTCCCCTCCCAACGTAGTTTTCCTTCTTCTCGGCAATGATCAGGATCATTAATTACAGCTTAAGCACTAATCATGGAGGAACATTTAACTTTTTAATGAAGGTTCTAATAGATTAAGTAGTCTCCACTAAGTATAAACAAAACAAAAGCATTTTAATCACTGTGTTTGACGCTGAGGCATGAAAAAGATGATGTGCAAAGAGGAATGACATAAGAATCCATGCGTGAAAAACGAGTCGCTAAGATAACCTGAGAAAAGAAGATGAACATTCTGTTGTCCTATTATTGGAGGAAATGGGGAAATGAGAACATAATCTTGAGATAATCAATCTGAGTCGTGGATAGAGGCCACGATAACCCTCTCCTCTCCTCTCCTCTACCAAATCCAAAGGGGAGAGGCCACGACAGCGCCATCTTTCTCCATTTCGGGTGCTGATAATTAAGTTGGCATCTTTCTTCATGAACTTTCTTTAGAGCTTTAAAAATAAGAATGAATTAATGGGAGCACCAATGAGAGCCATCATCACTATAGTTTTTATTTGGTGGCTAACCAGAGCAGGTTCCCTCCCTAGTAATGGAACATCACAAAGCCATTTGATGAAGACTAAAGGCTACCTTGAACCTCATTAGTGGACTTAATCCATTTTCCTTTAAGGATTAGATTAATGTTGGGTTTAATTTGCTAACTAGAAGGAGTAGCATATTTAAATATTATTATAACTTTTTGGGGTTTGGTATTTGCTTCTGGCGGTGCTTTCTCTCTTTTCAACTTTGAACAATAAGGGGTTTAATGGCATACTTGTAGGGAGTGGGGTAGGGAAAGGACATTCAAAGAAAAACCAAATGGCTGCAAAAGGAAATGCCCATTGTCCACTAAGAAAGTACTTTTATCTTCAAGAGAATTGTTTACTTAAAGAGAGGGTGGGCATGATTGGTGATTAACAAATTGGGAGGATGAACTCCATGCAACTTCACTTGAGTGGGATGTTGCTTTTTATTATTTTAATTAAAAGTTAGAATATGGCTCTACCCTTATGCCCCTCCTATGATGCTTCAGGTGTTTGTTCTTACCTGTTTATTCTTTTTAACCTTTTTTTATATATATATTTTCTTTGGTTTTTCCCACTCTTAGCTTTCTAAGTAGCTTCAAGATGCTGAATTATGAAATGGGGCAATTTGTTCTTAGGAATATGCCAAAGCCTAAATTTTTGGACCAGTTAAAAGGAGGGGGCCAGGGAGGGAAGGTGTCCTGTCTAGAATGAATTTTAGTACGACAAATTCATCCTTGATAATCCGAGTCCCAACATCATTAATCTAATAATTTTTTTACATGATTTTTAAAAACTTAAAGTTAAAGTGCTAATAATAATTGACCTAAACTTTTATATAAATTCGAATAATCACAATCACATTATATATGAGATGAGAT